TTGTTGCTTTCTCAGTCATCGGCCTCCTGCATCCTCCAATCAGCTCTTTTCTCTCCTGTGACCATATTTGCCATTTAAACTCAAATAGCCACCGGTTCTCGTTGATTTGCCTCTTGTTCGTTCCTGTGCTCTACATTATCCAAGTGGAGATCTTTTTGGCCACTTTGGTCAGCCGAGGTTGAAACTTTTGGTTTGTCGAGTCGTCACACCCACAGAATGACCGGTGGGATTGTGTGATTACCTCCTCTGGAGCGCCGCTGCCAGGAAAGAAGTTTCCGTCGTCGTAGCGATGGAGGGAAATGTAGAGGACGTTGGGGTCGCTATAGAAGGCCTGCTGAGTGCCGTTGCCATGGTGAATGTCCTGCAGTGACATATCACAGCAGCGTCAGAGAGAAGGTCAGAGGGAACGTATGGTACAGACACAGTGGACACAGGGACGGGTTAGCCTTTCACTCAGATTCATTTCCCTTTTAGTTTAACTTTTTAAAACCTTCTTAAAAAATGTTTTCCCAAAACTCTCAGGGATCAAGATCAAGGTCAAGATGCTGTTTTGGTAAATGTGAGACATGCCTTTGTTTTCTTTTTGCTCGAACTGTTTTTCACTGGAGTCTTAAAGCGTTAGAAACGGCTTTATAACCTTTTCCAGACAGACAGATGGAGAATACTGCAGCAGCTTTCTGAGCGTTAAAGTGGGATAAATAGAAATGACTGTGTGATAATATTGTGTGAGTGAAAGGACCGATGTAGAGGCTGTACTGACGCTATAACTGATGTGTTGATTCGGCAGGTCTGCTAGGAATCAGGTCTGGGTGTGGCTAGCAAAACTGAACTGTGATATCCTAATAAAATGTGGTGAATCACAAATAATTCATAATTTAACAAAGATACAATGAGTCCACTGGGCTGCATACACAAAAGGTAGGTTTGGATAGCTTTTCTTTATCCTTTAATACATGAAATTATTATTCAAATAGTGCATTTTGTATTTACTCAAATGATCTTTGTCCAATCACGTCACTTCAGCTGCGATAATGAACAGTCACATTTAACCCTGATCTGACCCCAGTAAGCCTAAATCCTGCTTCCAGCTGCATCATTAATACATTCATCTTTCAGTACATTGATAGATGAATGTATGAACATAAATCTGTTTCACCCAAACTGAAGAAGCATTCATCTGTTCAGGGGGTGAAAGTTTGGAGTAAAAATGAAGTTATTATTACACTTTCTATTAAATATGAAATGCCTAAAAACTGTATGTAAACATAATGTTTTCTATAGTCATAGAGAAACTGTGTGTGTTCCTGTCTAGCTATCTTTGTGAGGACCGAAATCTGCATTCTGCTATACTTGTGAAAACCAACAGTCACTTGTGAGGACACACACACTGGTCCTCACACGTTTGAAGCCTTTTTGAGGCTCAAAATGTGGTTTTAGTGTCAGGGTTACGATTAGGTTATGGTTAGGTATTAGGGTTAGGGTTAGGCATTCATTTTTAATGGTTAGGAAGTGTGGACTGAACCTGTCTCCAGCCGGAAACAGGAAAGGCACTGTCCATTCCCCCAACGGGTTGCCCTGTCCGACCGCAGAAAAGGTTGTGGGAAGTGCTCTTCCCCCTGCGGACCGTAGTCCACTGTGAGGCACTCATCTCCTCCCGATGAGTCCCGCTTTTTCGTTAATAGTTGTCTTGTGTTACTATTTATTTGTGTAGAATTTGTGTCCCCGTGGGCTTTGTTATAGGTAAATAAAATGAATTTGTTATCAGGTATGTTATTTATAAGTGTATTTTTTATGTGTGTATATAAAATGAAAGATTTATTTATTTATTAATGGAAAAAATGAAAAATGAAATCAAGAACAAAATAAAACTCCTCAAATAAAAAA